TGGGAGCAGAGCCCGACCCCCCCCGGCTCCCCCCTCCTGGCAGGGACTTGCAGAGCCAGAAGGTCCCCCCTGAGCCTCCTTTTCTCCAGGCTGAGCCCCCCCAGCTCCCTCAGCCCCTCCTGCTGCTCCAGCCCCTTCCCAGCTCCGTTCCCTTCCCTGGATACATTGCCCTTCTCTAGTAAAACACTCCTCTGCTGCTCATAAAAACTTTTGCCCTGATAGACCCTCCAAAAAGTCTCTTCAGACCAAACTTCACACAATCCCTTCAAATGGACAGTTCAATCCACACGTGATGTCACAGGAACTTGAGCTGAGGAGGCCGCAGCTGGAGCGTCATCTCCTCCAGATCCAACGGGGAAGTCTCAGGGGGCTCATCCCTGTCCAGAGGAAATTCAGGGCTGGCTCCTCAGCAGATGACTCATGGAGGTTTGGCTGGGAGCAGCAGCCACGCAGGGGGATTCATGGAATGCACCGAATCCATCTCAGGTAGGAAAACCACAACTTCAGGAAAACGAGCTGGAGTCTCTCCTACATCACCAAGTTTGAAGCAGCTTCTGATGAAGCAACAGGGCTGCAGCATGTGGGCACAGGGATGAAATTGGACTGGATTTAAAAAAAAATCCCCTTTTTCCCTAGGAAGACATCTCCCAAGTGTCCTCATCCCCGTGGAATTTGAGCGCCTTCCAGGAGCGCATTAATCACCGCCGCTTCCATTTGTCACGCCGGGGGTCCTTCACCCGCCCTCAGGGGCTCCTCTGACCCGGGGAATTCAGTTTATCTGCTGATGGAGGCAGTGAAATATTAATAAAAGCTTGACTTTCAAACCCTGCCTGTGTGAAAGAGTTGAGCCTTTCCCATTTCCAGCAGTCGGGAAGAACTCCCACCCCAAGCCGACCGATGACTTCACAGTCGCCTGGTTCGTAAGTGCAGCAGAAAGGAAACAATTAATTAAGATCTGCTTTACTGGATGAAAAGGTTGATCAGGACTAATGAACAGCCAGCCAGGAAGTCATGTCTCCATCAGGGAATGGTTTCAGGAAAAGGGAATTGCAAACCAGGAAAAAAATTAGATGGAATTAAGGGAGGTCTGAAAAAAGGTCTGTAAAGTCTGTTACTCATCTAATTCTGGATGAGCGTGGAAGGGGGTTGGAATTAGATGGTCTTTAAGGCCCTTTCCAGCCCAAATCTTCTGGAATTCTAGAAGAGGAAGTGGTTTCCTCACCTGCTGTTCCACAGGACAAATCCTTCCTTGCCTCCTCCTCTTCCAAGCTGTCCCATTGTGTTCTCCTGCACCACCTACAAATTTACCCCCAAAATTCCTTCTGGGAAGGGTCCTCCAGCAGCCACCACACTGGACCAGGACACATCCAGGCAGATGTACGGTAACATGACTAAATTCTGGGAGGAACTTTCTTTTCCAAGGAAATTGGGCACTCCAGCTCTATTTTTACATCCTCGTCGCAACAGATTCCCAAGGGATTCTTTCCAGTTACCAGCAACGAGAGAACGTGCCCCAAACACCCACTCAAGCCCCAGCAGGGCCTGATGTGAGAAGGGTTCTCCATGGAAAGGATTCCAAAAAAATCCAAACAAACTTGAGTGGTTCCCCACAGGAAGGACTTCAAAAACGTCCACCAAAAACCAGAGGACTGACCACCTTTCTCTGAAAGGATCAGGATTGAGCCCATCAGGGTGGAATTTACAGCACAAAAGGGAGAACTCTTGGAAATGGCCATGGAAGAGGAAGTGGAAGGTGTAAGAAAAAAGCTTCTTATTTTAAAATCAAGTTTCAAAGAGTAAGGTGGATTTTTATACCTCTTTTCCAGTTCCTTGTTTGTCCACCCCATCCATCACGTTTCCCACCTCAAGTTCAGGTTGTGGACACACAGCAATCCCTGTGAGGGGAGGCTGTTGATCCAAGAACATTCCTGATTAATTAAGAGCAAAACTCTGCTCCTGTGGGGGTCAAAAAAAAAAAAAAAACACCAAAAAAACCAACCAAACAGTTCTGCCCTCACTGAGCTCCCCAAAATTTGCAGAACTTCCCCCAAAAATCTTGGTGTACAGCGGGTTAAGAAGGGATCGACTCCACTCTGGAAGCAACACAAGCCAAGCTGAGTTCTTGGAATGAAGTTTGGAGTGCTGGAAGCAGGGACTCCAAACATCAACAAGTCTCCTTCCCCCAGAACTGTAAACACTGGATGCTCTGCATCCAGCACAAGATTTATCCAATGGCAATGGAATGGGGGTGAGTCAGCCTCACTAGAATCCCTGAGGGAGAAACCAGGGGAGGGATGGATGACAACACTCCCCCACCACCAATTCTGGGGGAAGATTTCAGCACCCAAAGGGTGATGAAACCAGCCCTGGCACAGCTGCCCAGGGCAGGGGTGGATCCCCATCCCTGCAGGGGATGTGGCACCTGGGGACAGGGGTCAGCGGTGGCCTTGGCAGTGCTGGGAATGCTTGGACACGATCTCAGAGGGCTTTTCCGTCATCAGAGCCCTTCAGCTCCCTTTGGTGTTTCATCATTGCAAAGCTAAAAGCAGAGTTAAGCAGCTGAATGGCCTTAAACGAGCTCAAAGTGAGGCAAGACCTTGTCAGGACTCCCAAGGCCCCCCAATTTCTTGTCCCAGGGAACAAGTCCACTCCTGTATCAGACACAACCAACAATTCCTTCCCAATATCCCACCTAAATCTCCCCTTTTCCACTACGAAGCCATTCCCTGTGTCCTGTCCCTCCATCCCTTGTCCCCAACAGTCCCTCTCCAGCTCTCCTGGAGCCCCTCCAGGCCCTGGAAGGTGCTGGAAGGTCTCTCCAGAGCCTTCCCTCTCCGAGCTGTGCCTCAGTTTCCGCAGAATTGGGCGTTTTCTTCAAAACTGCTCCTTGAACTGAGTTACTGAGAACACCTGAAGCAGAGAGAATAGAAAACCACAGCTCACACCCAGTGTTTTTTTTCCTGTTTAACCATCACACGAGCTCCACAGTGACAAGAAAAACATCGCTTAAGATTTTACCACCAAGAACCACAAACCCCCGTGTTTTCTCTTTGAAGTGATGCTGGTTGAAGGTGCAACCAGGCAGGACACGACCATCTCATCAAGTAGGGGGTGATTCTCCCAGGAAAGCCTTAAAAATTCCCCCCCAAATCCTCAAAAATACCCCTGTTAATTAGACTCTCTCCAGGTTCATCCCCAGACGAGCTGCAACAGTTTACTACAACTCAGGTGCTTTATTGAGGTGTTTTGGGATTTTTTTGTTATTAAAAACAAGGACATTTTCTCCAGGACAGGAATTAAAAAAATAACAGTAAAAATAATAAAAAAATCATTGTTCAAACCCCATTGGAAATAAATATATAAAGCCTCTATTCCAATCAGGGAGCTGTAAATATATTATGAGCCGAGTTCTTCCCAACTACGCCGACTTTGGAAGCGCATCAAACCCCTACAAAAAAAACCCCCATAAAAACCTGACACTCATCCCAAATCCTTGATTCTTAAACAGGGTTTAAGATTCTTCAGATCAGTACAAAAAGCCACCCAACACCACCAAATCTGAGCTGCAAAAGTATTCCCTGCGTGTTTTTTTGGGTTTTTTTTTTTTTCCTTCCACGCCACGTTCTGCTCCAGGGCTGGAACGTCCCAGGGTGGTTTGAAGGGGTCATTCCCATCAGTCCCAAGGCACCTTCTTCCCTAAGACGTGGTTGGTGATTTTCTGCAGGGGAAAAGGAAGTGAAAGAGATGAGTTTTAAGGGGGTTTGAAAATTCCAGATGCTGAGCAGGATGATATTCCTTAGTTTTCTGAGTGGAATATCATGGAAACGAGGAATGCTTTGGGTTGGAAGGGACTTTAAAGCCCATCCAGTTCCAACTCCCTGCCATGGGACACCTTCCCCTAGACCAGGATGCTCCAACCTGGTAATTAAAGGCTAATAAAACACTGCAAAATGGGGTGTTCATTGACACTTTTCAGGACACCTAAAGCAGCCCAGTTGTTTCTCACTCCTTCCCATGAAAAAAAAAAAAAAGCAGGATAATGCCATGCTGGCTGCTGTGGGAACGGTCAGGAACAAGCCTAAAGATATCAAGGCTAAAAATACCTTGGAATTAGCTGAGAGATTGTTCCCTGAATATCCATGATCGTGTCTCCCCTTCACCTACTGAGCAGAAACTTCTGGGAGTCACCTGTTCCCAAATTTCTGATGTATTTCGGAAAAGACACGGGAAAAGAGCAACAAGGACAGTGGAAGGCACAGAAAGCGTTTTCTACGACAATCAGTGGAATAAATTAGGAATCTAATGGGAAGGATGAAGGGGAGGAGATGGGAGCCTTGTACAATCCTGAACTGCCTGAAAATGTAGGGGAAAAGTTCTTTCCAAACTCCTCCAAAAAAAAAAAAAAAAAGGTAATAAAAAAAAAAAGGTAATAAATTTTCAAGAAACAAACC